ACCAAAACCGGCGCACGAAAGTGCATGGTTAATGGTTGTTCAAACTGAACTGAAAACTGGACGATAAACGTCTTCCGCGCGCAAATTTAGGATACCACGACCCTTAAGCAGTGACCGCACAGTGACGCAGTGTACACGACCTTTGAGTTTCAGGTAAATATCATGTCGGCATCAAGGGTGTTTCAATCCTACGTACAACGTTCGTATCCCGGAAATGCGGGCTGATAATTTACTGTGCGATCATCGTTTGCCACGCAATTTCCAATTCAATACCAACATTTTGGGGGTCACTTAGAGAGTATTTCGAGTGCTTTGTCTGCAACGAAATTGAATAGGAAGGATGAAATATGGCACTTTGAGGAACACCGCCGTGTAGTGATCGGGATGTGCAGACCTGTAAAATACACGACGAATCACCAATCGGTAACACGGGAGAAGTGGCTATCCCGATAATTGAGAAGGCAGACAATCAGGTTCAATTCAGTTTTAAAACCATCAACCATGCACATTAGGGTACCTCCTACGGTGGCTTTCTTTAGGCTGTTCACTTGAATGGTGGAGGCGTGGTGGTTTGGTTGCTGTCACCGGTTTTGTTTTAGATACTGTGGTCCGAACTCCGTTTCCGAAGGCCTCAGTATGATAGGGGATAGAGGTTTTGAGTTTTGGCTGCTCATCCTTCCCTTTAACCTAACGAAATGTTCCCACACGATCGAGCGTCCTAAACAGCCTCTGCTAGGGAAGCCCCATTCACTGCTTACATATGGCGGAGCTGTTTTCCCATCAAAGTGAGAAGAAGAAAAGCCAACATCCGGGGCTATAACCGGGTCGGTGAACCACAGGCTAGCCGGTGCGAATGCAGATACTGGTTGAGAGTGCAAGCAATGTAGCCGAATTTGACCGGCTCTCCGGCATTGATTTGCAGACCCTTTTGAAATAGCGTTTCTTCCCACAGTTACTGCAAACTACATTATTGGAGCTTGAAATGAGGATCTCTGTCGTTTCCGCACAATAGTATTTAGCTTTGAACGCGACTAACGTTCGTACAGGCGGAGGTTTGCTTTTTTCGGGATGCATTGCTTCAGACAAAGATCTGCTGTTAAGTGACGGAAACCGGAAACCAAAGCACCGGGACTTGGAGTGGCGAACCACATAAGGCCCCAAAATGTTAGGTTTGGATCTGGAGATCTAAGATGACTGAAGTATGATCTTGTATGCGTGTTTCGGACACAGCATACGTTTCAATGGAATTTTTCAAGGGTTCTAGCTAAGGCAGCTTGTTGACCGATCTGGTAGAGTGAGCGGACATTAAATATGGCTAAGCGAGAAGATTTTGGTCTCAAAAATCGGATAGGCTCTGAATGGTTGACCTTATTAGTTGAACGCTGAGCAATATCCCATGGGTGGCGTAAATCGGATGTATCTCCTAAGGTTTGGGAGTGAGAAGAGGAAGTAGACAGATGATAAACAGGGTTTTCTAAATGGGTGCCCAAGACTTAAGGACACTGCATAATTCACGGGGCTGCCCAGCTTGGGCGGGCGATAGCTGTCCAATGAAGTGCGAAGACTTCTCCCACCCTCAGGAGGAAGCCCCAGGTACCTCGCTCCTACGTCGATCTAGCGGGGTTTTTTGACCGGTAAACTGTCCTAGAGTGACCTCTCCAGGGGTGGGTGTGGATAGAAGAAGGAAGCCAGAAGGTGCCCAAGCAGCTGGCTTTGTGAGACTGATCTTTGCCTGGCTACCCATTGACCTTTCAGGCATGATTGGATCTGCGGCTGTGAGGAGCAATCCTGTATAGCTCGCAGGGTCATGGAGGAACGCAAGCCATCATAACACGGAGAGGTGCAGTCTCGTTGTGATGGCCACTTTGTTAGGCGTAGTATCATCATCATCATCTTACAGCGAAATACAGAGAAGCGAACTTCTCTGATAGCTGATAAAACTCGCAATGCATATGCATTTGGGTTTGATGGACCGGTACTGCTAGGGTGTTCAGCC